AGGAAAAAATCAATTATGCCTTCAGTTTTGAGGGCAGAGGTGGAAATTGGGCAGGTTCACATACCTTTTTTTTTTTTTTTAATCCTTACCTGAGGAAATTTTTTCCATTGATTTTAAGCGAGAGTCGAGGGCGGGTAGCCATCAGTTACCTCCCGAATGTGCCCAACTGGGGCAGGAGATTAAATCTGCAACTGAGGTACATGCCCTTGACCAGGAATCAAACCTGTGACGCTTTGGTCCATAGGCCAACACTCTATTGAGCCAAATCAGCCAGGGCAGGCAGGTTCACATATCTTGAATACCTATTAAGTGCCAGGTATATCTGACGCTTTAAGGATCCCAAAGTGGGCAACATGTGGAGATGGTCTGGGGTGGGTCTCTGTTCCTGTGGTCTGATCAGCAACCATTCCCTACTCTTCTATCCCAGGACTTCAACTGCCCCTTGAGGATTCCATGCCCACTCTGTTACTTTGAGGGAACACATGATCAAGGTGCTCTGGCTAGAGGGTGGAATCTGAGGCTCACAGTTGTCATCTGGGAAATTTAATCTTGAGTGACACAAGAAATAAGCATGACTGGTTCATTACCACCCCAAAACATATGACCTGAAGAGAATTCCAGGAGTTCCTGTTCCCTGGACTCTCAAGATCTGACCCAGGCCAAAACTGGTTTGGCTCAGTGGATAGAGCGTCGGCCTACGGACTGAAAGGTCCCAGGTTCGATTCCGGTCAAGGGCATGTACCTGGGTTACGGGCACATCCCCAGTGGGAGATGTGCAGGAGGCGACTGATCGATGTTTCTCTCTCATCGATGTTTCTGACTCTCTATCTCTCTCCCTTCCACTCTATGAAAAAAAAAAAAAAAAAAATCTGACCCAGGTCTTATCCTTCCAAAGGCTGGTCCTTCATCCCTTCCTCCCATTTGAGGAGCCACCCCACATCCTTTCAGTTTCCTGTTTTGATAAAGTTAGAGCCAGCTTCCATTGCTTGCAACCTGAGGATCCTGGCCAATGGATATAGCCACCAACAGGATGTGTGCCAAAAGAATGACAGGTGGGTGGGATTGCAATAGATTGAAGATTGGAGCCTACACCTTGACCCCTTTCCCAATGTGTTCAGTCCTTAATGGTACCATGGCATGGCCCTTTTAGAGAGGCTGACAGATACCAGCTACAATTTACCTTTTCAGCCATAAAGTTACATTTTTTAGCCCCTTTTGAGGAACATGCTTTAGGGAAGTGAAGTTGTGACTTGAACTCATGATCGCCATTTCTACATTAGTTCAGCCATCCACATCCATTTGCCATACTAGTCTGGCACATGGAGTTCTTTGTGAAACCTCTGCTGACCTATAATAGGTCTTGGTTCAGTTTCCTTCGTGCAACTACATTAACTTGTCCTGTCAACTATATGAACTTATCACACTACATTGTCATTATTTGTCTAGCTTCAGTAGTAGTCGTGAACTCCTAGAGAGCAGAGTATAAAGAAGGGTCTGGTACAGTGCTTTGCACTCTTTGTAGAGCAAACTCAACATTATACAAAACATATGAAATTGGAGAACATTATAGGTAAAGATCATGTGAACCAAGGCCTTTAAAAAAAAACAAAAAGGAAGAGGGCCCAGCTGGTGTGGCTCAGTGGTCAACCTATGAACCAGGAGGCCAGTCTGATTCACTGTCAGGGCACATACCTGGGTTTCAGGCTTGATTCCCAGTAGGGTGCATGCAGGAAGCAGCTGATCGATGATTTTCTATCAACACTGATGTTTCTATTCTCTCTTCTTCCCCTCCCTCTCTGAAATCAATAAAAATACATTTAAAAAAGACAGAGAACCAGTTAGAAGATACCACCCCATAAAGAAGAAGAAAAAAAAAGGAGCAGTTCAGACTCTGAAAGATAAGGTACCTTACCAGAGGTTATTCAGTGGCAGGTCCGGGCCTAGAATCTAGCCCACTGAAGTCCAGAATCATTTTCTCTGCACCAGTGTGAAACTATCCCATTCTATCCCCATCAACATAACCCAGCTGCAAAACACATCCAAGTCTTGGCAACTCTGTTTCACATTGTCTCTCCCACATAAATTACTCAGTCCAGTCCACTGTCAGTTCTCAATTCCAAAACAAAGTTTATTTGTCATGTGCGAGTAGGGATGGAAAGGGTGGGGGTGTGGTCCCACTATGCAGTTACTCTCTAACCTTCAATATGTGCTGTCTCAACCTGTCTCTGACCAAAGCCATTTGTTCAGAGTAGTGGTGCTACCTTGAAAGCATTTTAAGTCAGTGGCCATCTCCTGAGTTCCCTGGTCACATTCCAATCACTGTGATCAGTATATGAGTGATCAGTGGTGGTCAAAAGTAGACAAGAGGCACACGTTGTTGAAGGAATACCCTCTATTAAAGAGGGTTCTAGTAAAGACACATGGAATGTCAATTTGTTAAAGTGCTCAACTACAAAAATAAAGGTGTTGGGAAAATATCTACTGGTAAAAAAGCAAGTTATGATCTAAGGGACTTCTGGAAAGACATAACAAGGAAAGTACATAAAAAAGAATTCTGCTCACATTTCAGCAATGATAAGGGAAAGAAAAACTTAAAGCTCAGTCCCTGAATTATTAGAAAATAAATCAAACATATCCCTAGATGGAGACCAGCTCCTTTAACTCCTCATGGAGACTGAATGAAACATTTATCATTATGTCTTTTTGTTTTAACTCTTCTCTCTTCAAATAAATTTTCTAATCTGAAATCTGGTTTCCTGTATAAAAAGGTCTATTATGAGCAAGTGACCAATTTACATATGGCCTGTAAACCACTATTCTGTAATGTGATTAGGAAAAACCTGCAGTAAGATGAGAATTCTGAGTTTCCAAATCTGCCAGGTTGAAGTCCATACCCAAGAACAAGAGGTCCATGATATATCCTCCTGGCATGATTATAAGATCCATGATTGAGGTGCCATGGTAGTGAGGGGTAAGTATCCATCAGCAGCAGTGGCTCTCTTGTCCTAGAAGTTAGTATATGGCCTCAGTCACTTGTAAGTCCAGTGAGCAGTGGCCCATCCCTGGCCCTTGCACAGGTCCCTGTGACGAAGGAAACAGGCATGGACTCGGAACCTACGACCGCAGTGGGGACAGGCATGCAAGGCTCCCGCGTGGGTCTTCATATGCTCCGTCAGATGGTGCTTCAGCTTGAAGCGCTTGTTGCAGATCCCACAGCCAAAGGGCCGAAGGCTGAATGTCAGCATAATGTGCCGGTCACGCTTTGGTTTCACTGCAAACCTCTTCCCACACAAGCAACCAAAACATTTTCCATCTGCAGGGGGTGTCCCCCCTAGTTTCACAGGCCCATGAACAGCCTGCCCCGCTCCCCCAGGCCCCCCACCCCCTGACAAAATTTCATTCCCATGAAGATCCACTGGTTTCCAGGATGGACCTCCTCCTCCAGAGGTTGCCCCTACTCCCGAGGGCGGCAAGAACCCCAGCTCTTCACTCCCTTCAGTGCCTCCTTTAGGAAACACTGTGGTCTCCTCCATTATTCCTCCAGACTGAGTGCCACTTCCTGTTATGTCCTCCTTAGGCTCAAAGGGTTCCTGCTTAATGTAGAAGATTTTGGGGGGCGCTGCAGAAGGAGGGGCAGGAGGCTCAAGTGGTACACTCTCCTCCTCTGGAAGCCTACGGGGAGTAGCAGATATGGGCAGTGGGTGGGACCCATGAGAATGGGGAACCCCTGATACTCTGGCAGGCTGAGGAGTCTGAGAAAGTGCTGCTGACCCCTGGTCTTCATCATCGTCTTCTTCCTCCTCCTCCTCCTCCTCAACTTGAATCTGTAACACCTCTCCCAGTTCACTCCCCTCCCCTCCAACGGGGTTCTGGGTAGAAGCAGAAGACTGCACAGGAGCCTGGAAAGAGGAAGAGCGAATGCACCAACCTCCTGTTGATGATGCAGTGGAAAGAAGTGTGTGATAAGGGGTCGCTCCACGGGCTGACATTCCGCCACCTGAGGTTTCTAATTCTCGAAGAATCTCTGAGCACTGATCTACCACTTGCCACATCTGGAGGCCACTGGCCACAAGGAGGTGGGCAGGGAGAGCATCCAGTGGCAGGCGCAGGCGCCCTGAATAAATGAGCTGGAGCAGCCCCTCGAAGGCATCCGCTTCAATGACGCTGGGCAGGGTGAGGCGTGGGGCATCCCCCAGGAGAAGCTTGTCGTGGAAGTAAGGAGAGGCAGCAGCCAGCACTGCTTTGTGAGCCCGAAGTTCCCGGCCCTGCACCAGGAGGGACACATCACAGAACTTCCCCTCCAGCCTGTGACGGTTCAGGGCTTCCAGAAGCATTGAGCTGTGCTGAGGGAACTCGATCTGGATGGTCCGTGGGGCGGGGTTGCAGTTCGGGGACGCGGGGACGGGAGGCAAAGGTGCCGAGGTATCCATGGCCTCCACGGGAAGCGATCCCAGGGGATCGAGTCCCGGAGGTGAGGGGCAGGGGTGGACCTCACGCCGGATGAAGGCTGTGGAGGAAAGAGACGGGGGTCACAGCAGCTCGAATAAGGAGAGCGCGTTCCCTCAAACACCACCTGCCTCCCCTACCCCCACCCCCACCGCGACCCGCGGAAACTTTTCAGTCAGACCAGTCCCGCGCGCTCCCCCACCAACACCAACCGGGTTAACTCCGGGGCCCGTGAAGATGGGGAGGTCCTCCAGCCACCGCCCGGCTGGCCCGCCGCTCTGGCGCC